TTTTTTTTTTTTTTTTTTTGCTAAATACAAATTGAAATAACACCTCAAAATACATGATTTTCTTTAATTATTAAAAGAAAAAAATGGTTTATTAATGCAACATTAAATTAAAATATATATATATGTATGTATGTATACAGTGGAGATGGGGGTGTTGACGTTGATATGAGTTAATTTATTTAAAAGAAAATGTATTAATTAAACTATCAACGTCGACGGCGACTTCTTCAACTGAGAGAGAGAGGGAGAGAGAGAGAACCTTGGAAGAATCGGCGGAGAGAAAATGGTAAGCAAATTTTCCGGCGAGACGAAATTCATGCATAACCCAGTTGGTCTTTTGGCCTTTTGGAGCTCTGCCTCTGTAGAAAACAAGCGTCTTCTTCATCCCAATTAAGGAGTTGGTTTTCGAGCTCATTATTTCCCGGTCCTTTCCGGTCGCCTTCCAGTACCCGGCCTCCGTCGCCCGGTTCGTCCTCAACCCGGTCGGGTATTTCCGGTCTCGCAAGCTGAAGAAATACCACTCCTTTTCCCCCATCAGCGCTTTCTCTGTTCAACCCACATATTATTATTATTATTATTTTCAATAAATAAAAAAAAAATATATATATATATATATCTATTATATAAATGTATGTAAGATAAAAGTCGGCGAATGATCATGAATTTATAATGAAAGAATACTATCTCTATTGGTATGAGATTTTTTTGAGAAACCCAAAACAAAGTCACGAGAGCTTATGCTGGACAATATCGGTAATATCCACCTTCGTTGGGGAGGAGAACAAACCACCACTTGTAAGTGTATGGAAATCTTCCCGTAGCAAATGCGTTTTAAAACCCTAAGGGAAATCTCGAAAGGGAAAGCACAACGAGGACAATATCTACTAGCGGTGGGCCTGGGTTGTTACAAATGGTATTAGAGCCAGACACCGGACGATGTGACAGCCTTCTCGTTGTTCTCCGAAGGGAGTAGACACGAGGCGATGTGTCAGTAAGGACGCTAGGCCCCAAAGGGAGGGTCATTGGTGGTGGTCCCACATCAGTGTCTACGAGGACGCTGGGCCTAGAAGGGGGTAGATTGTGATGTCCCACATTGGTTGAGGAGGAGAACAAACCATCACTTATAAGGGTGTGGAAACCTTTCCATAGCAGACGCGTTTTAAAGTTTTGAGGGGAAGCCCAAAGAAGATAATATCTGTTAGCGGTGGTACAATATGATACCATTATAGAGAGTCGTGTTCATTTAACAATATATATAAGTAGAGAAAATGAGCTGACCAGGGAGGTCCCAGGGCTCGGACTTGTTGAGGTCGACATGGGCGATGGCGGGCGAGGAGAAATGGGAGTCCAGCACCTTTTTCAGAAGGTAATGGGCGATCAGCTCTTCGTCGGTCGGGTGGAAGCGGAAACCCGGTGGGAGGAACCCGTCGGAGCTCTGGTGTCCGCCGCCGCTGCCGCCGTGATCCATGGAGGTTGATCGGAGTATAGAGAGAGAGAGAGAGAATTGATGATGAATGTGGGTGAAAATCCAAGTTTTTATATCCTGAAGTGAACTCATATTTTTATTTATTTAATTAATTTAGAATAATAATAATAATTTGGGAAATTAATGAGAGGATAGGGGAAAGGAATAATAAATGCTTAGTACAATTCCCCCCCGACATCAACTGTAACACAAAATATGCATACATATGTTTCAAAACCAGCTTTATATGATCTATCATCTTTTTCTTTTTCTTTTTCGTTTTTATTACACGTGTTTTTTTGCCTAACTCGTACAGTTTGACTAGGGATATCCGATAAAATTGAAATGATATAGAGAAGATTAACATGTTCCTGTATAAGCGAATCGTATCTGTTAGTGGTTGGTTTGAGCTGTTACAAATGGTATCAAAGTCAGACACCGGATGACGTGCCAATGAGGATGCTGACCTCCAAAAGAGTGAATTGTGAGATCCCGTATCAGTTGGAGAAGAAATCGAAACATTTATTATAAGAGTGTGAAAACCTCTTCATTGTAGACGTATTTTAAAAATTGCGAGGCTGACAACAATATATAATGGGCTAAAATGAACAATATTTGCTAGATATGGATTACAAAATTTGATGGCGTATATTATTTTAATTTATTTTTTTTTATTTATTATATAAATTTTTTATGTTAGATACAATATTTAATTTTTAAATATTAATTATTTTGTATATCAAAACACAAACATTTAATGTTGCCCTATGCAAATTATTATTTTTTGGGGAAATGTTAATATAAATATTTATTAATGGTTTTTTAATAATAAATTTGTCAATAAAAATGAACATTTAAAAATAATAGTAACGATAATTATTATTATTATTATTTTAATTATAATTAATAATAACAATATGTGATGATGTAAACTTGTAAGCGATATATTTATAATTTTTTTTATTGAAAAATGTCGCTAGTAATTCAATGTCAATTAAAATATTTATTTATTATTTTTAATAAATATAAATTCAATTAAATATGTATGGCCCATTCGAGTAAAGGCCAATAAATATAGAAACTTTATTTTTAATGTTTTTAATTTACTCGAAACAAACAACACATATGAAATGATAAAAACACTTTTAAAAAAAAAAAAAAAAAACTTACACGGAGTTTTCTCGAAAATCACAATGACAAATAAATACATCAAGTCCAACTCTTCCTATAACCTCGTTGTTGTGAAACGACATGATCACTTGGACATAGCACGAACATGGATTCTTGA